ACCTTGTTTTCATGTTTTACTGAATAACAATTATGTGTGGCCCTTTCATTTTAAGCAACATTTGAATTTCTGGTAGCAGGTCAAATGGAACCTAATTAATCTTCTTTGAAAAGGTGCAAAAAATAATCGTAGACATAGGAAACCATTTATAAACCTTCATGTTTTGCATGTTATCTTAAATGTGAGATAAGAACAAAATGTCTACGGCGTCTTATAAAAGGGTGTTCATGAAATAGAAAATACTATAATGATGCCTTTAAATACCTCAACTGTAACTCATGTGACAAATAATCTATCTATGAACAAATCTTTATGAGAGAAAACAAGTGTATTTCTCCTGTTTCAAATATATTCTATAACATATTAACCTGTCTCTTTACTGCACAGCCTCTAGGAGAGAGATGCAGAAGGACATGGAGGCTGCACCAAAGTCCTCTCCTAAAAGATTTGCTGTGGTTTCGCCAAAGCCACAGTCCCCTGGTAAGTCTTGCAATAATTAATGTTAATGTAAATACAAATTGTATGCTCATCCAGTATGTATCTGATATGGTATGTTTTTTTCTTAAGTGCTACATCGGGAGTAAAGCAGCAGTCGCAATAATGCAGCACCATCAGTTGCTACTGTACCTTTAAATTGTACAGTCACTCACTCTCTCTCTCTCTCTCAACGCTTCATTACAAGACCCATGGCAGCCTGCTGTTGTCATAGCAACAAGCTACAGGAGCAGTAATGCTGGGATGGCTCTTTCAGTAGAAAACCCTGCTGGGTCAGATTACCACAACAAGTCAGCATTTGTCCTTTTCCCAGAGAGCACACAGACAGATTATCAGCTGGGTAGAGTTACAGTTCAATTTCACTACTGCTCACATGATGCACTCATGTTTTCCCACTATGATTGTTAAGATATGAGGAGGAAACGGCAGCTCATTGATGAGCAGTGAGATGACTTGAGTAACAGAAAGACAATTTTCCACCAGGTGGGAGGATATAAACCACTGTGGCTCCAACCAATCAGCGCTTTATTTCTACAGCTACGAGAGTATACCAACTGCTAATAGTATCTGCAGTATAAATCTGCTTTTTAGTATTGCTATTGGATATTGATCAATGTTAATTCTGTTTTTGTCTATTAATTATTTTCTAAAGGTAAAAAAAATAAGAGGTGGAGTATTGTTTCAAAGAAAGTCATTAGTCAAAACAAAACACAATATTTCAATTTAATGTGATATAAAACTGAGACAAGAACACAACACTCTGAATGAAACTAGCTAATAATTGGCCTTTACATGACGTATTGTAATGTCTGTAATTTTCACTCTCGATCTTTACTTGCTGGTGCATTATTTAAGAAGAAATGGTTGATTAGTTCTAATAAAATACATATGGTATACTTGGTTATTGTGTCTGTATTTCATTAAGTTTGTTATGAGTGAAAACATTTCATCATATTGTTTTTGTCCTCCTGCTCTTTGTTTCTTTAGTTCGGGGGCGGACGGCAGCAGTTCACGGCGCTGTTCGGACTGAGCGGGCCCAGGAGATGGACCGGGTTCTGATCCAGCAGCTGAGGGAGCGCTGTGAGCAGCAGGACCTGCAGGTTCAGAGCCTTCAGGCCCAGCTAAAGAAAGCCTCTCTGTGTCTGGACGTTTTCAGCATCACTACCCAGCATTTCTGTATCAAGGTAGGCTACAGCAGAGCTCTGTGAACTCCACCGGGTTGACCTGCAAGCAATATTGGTCTTGCCATCACTTTGAGAGCCCCGTTAAATGTTTTAAAGTCCAAACCTGAATGAATCCTACATTAAAAACAGCCAGTCCCCTTCGTTCTTAGCTCTGTTTTAGGAAGCTATGACAAGTCATTCATTCACGATATTAATCCCAGTATACCATGGCTTTCATTTCTGATAAATTAACTCATTAATGTCATGAATTTGATCAATTCCAAGATTAGAAAGTTGGAGGTTCAGAAGGGATGCATTTTGAGAGATTTAAAGATATTTAATATCAATTATTTTGTAATTAGCCAAGGTCAAAACAGCCCTTGTTTGCATTTACATTTTTGTGGAACAGAAGCATAACTTGACAAGTTGAATTTGACATGCATCATGATGGATGGATCTTTGCTGGTTGGTTACTGGTTGGTTTTCATGCCACAAGGAATAACAGTAATAGCGTTTCACTTCAGCTTCTAGAATAAAGAATAAAGGAATGTCTTATTACAGAGGGTAGAAAAGTGTCATGCAGAATCCTGTATTATATGTTATCTTTTGTCCATATCAAAATGTGCATGCTAGTTAATCCTGCTGTTGCAGATATGTTCCGGGCTAATACACCCGTGTAGGAAGGGAAAGCTGTTGCAAGCGTCAGAATGCAACTACAAAGCACTACGCACCAACTACACCTGAAGCATCTAGCTTTTGATGTCAGCTTTACTTTGTTCACATAGCCTGTCACTTTGAATACGTTGGGAATACCTACAAAGCAGAAGGATGTGTCAGTAAAATGTGTGAGGAAGATGAGGGGAAATACAAATGGTGTTTTTTCCATTTCATTCAAAGGGAAATTATGTTTGATGTATAATGGCTTTTCATATCTTCATTGAGTAAATTAGAATGTATTCAATAGAGCTGGCTGGCCTTTCATGTCAGGTCTGTCCTAAAACTGCTGAATTGTCGAGTGAATGGGATACAAACACATTTGTTATCCATTTTAAATATCTGAATTGGTACGTCTCAAGCGTATTTTGCTGTTGTATAAGATGATCTCTGTTGTTGGTGTGTGTTGTGCATCTAGAGTATGGATGAAGCTCTTGTTTATTGCCCTTTCCTGGTCCTCTGCCTCCATTTCCCAGCACCACCCACGGGTTCTGCTCTACAGTAGGAGATGATATATGAGATTAGAGCTGCCAGCCTGTGCCTCGCGGTGCTATGACTGAGAGTGATTGTCTAATGGAAAGAGTACTCAAGGTCGGAGGGGGGAAGACAGCTAGGCTCCCCTTTAAAATGTTCCTTTAATTGGATTTTGAATCCCTTATAATGATTAAAGGGCAGTGTAGACGGTATTTTAGATGTATTGACCTTAAATACTGTCCAATGTCTTCCAATGTGTTCAATGTCTTCCTGTAGCCTGTCATCCAGCACCACTGTTTATCAGTACTGGTTGACTCTGTTCAGGATTTTTTAGATGTTTACAAGCATTGATAACATATTGATGAGGCTTTAGAGGGTTCAGTGTGTAAGAGAAATAGAACACCAAAGAAATAGCTTTATACTCTATAGGGTTGGGTATAACACAACACATCAAATACCTCAACATCCTTTGCTTTCACAAAATACTAACACAAAACCATTTAAATTGTATTTATGTGGATTAAATGACTAAGTGGTTAAAAGCAAATGATATAACAGCTAGGACAGTATGTACAATTCATTGTATTACATCACTTTACTGTAATGCAGCTTTTCAGAGACACTATGTGACATCACGATATCCGAAATGTAAGACAACATTAAGTCTCATATCACACTATCATTATAGTATTGATATATTGCCAATACATGGGAAGTGTTCTTGTTGCAACAAAAACATTTCATCCAAAGCTACACTTTGCTTCAGTCAGTGCTTTCTAGAGTACTTTGATATTCATTAAGCGTGTTTTCTGTATGTATCAAAATGTCTGCGTGTAGCTGTGTTCTCCAAGCTGAGTAACAGAGCAGATAATTGGTCACTTATTGATCATCTCCCTCCCCCTGCTTCTCCGGCTCCACTCTTTTTGTTTTTTTCTCAAAGATGCAAAAGCCTGTGCATGTGTGTGTGTTGCTCGCTGCCATGCGAGTAAATGTAATTCTGGGCGTGTTGGTGGGGGTTTGAGGGGAGGGCAGGCAGATCTGGGCAGGGCTGGCAGTCTTTGTTCCAGCAGGGATAAACGCCGGTCGCAAACCAGGACACGAGGTGAGGCTTCGGTCTTCCCTTCTCTCCTCCCCTCCCCATCCCTTGCCTGGTTACCTCCCCCTATGTCTCTCTTTCTGTATCTTTCTGGCACTCGCATCTGCCACTGCTGCCTCCTCCTCACTGGGCTCAGGGATGCTGCTGTCTGCTAGCCTGGAATGGGCCATTGCTGCTGTAGGCTCCATATCCTCCCTCGGTGCTTCCTGGACCGAACGGTAAAGGCAGTACATCTTCTGCAGGCAGCAGGCTATGTGCTATATGTGTGGTTGTGCGCATGTGTGTTTAGTGAGGGTGGGGGGGGGGGTCTGAGTGCGTCTGTCTATGTGAGCGTTACATTCAGTTGTTACCTAGAGACAGAGCTGGAGAACAGAGAGTAAAGCTGTGCATGATTATGCTGAGTCAAAGCAGGCTTGTGTGTCACACTGTCCTTCTATCTTTTCCCTCAGAGTTTGAGGCATTACATAACATGTTATTAATGCTCTGCTATAACCTTACACTTGTTTGCTATTTCGCCGTGTACATTGTGTCCTAACTGTATGTGATGGAGTAGTCTGGGTGATTACATGTTATTGAATGTATAGGAGGGCTCATCCTCTCAATGTCTAAGTGACATGTTTACCTGATGTTGCTGAATTTATCCTCTACAGGAAATCATCTTTCAGGTTCTCTTTTTAGAATAATGATGTCGTTTCAGCTTCCTGTTTGTTCACTGGAGCCTGCATTTTGTTAAGTCCAAACAAAAAAGCAAATGCACTTTTGGGAGGCTTTTTATGGTTCCACTGAAACTGGATTGATGTATTGATTAACTCATGACAGTATCTCATGGAAAATGAGCACCGTTACAATAACAAGCCATGTTTATTGCTTTCCAGAAAGTGACACTCAAATCTCTAGACAATAGACACAAAAAGATAAACACCACTATTGACAAGCCATTTATAATTTGTGATGAATCAAAGAAACATTAGCTAGAACATTAGCTAACCTAACAATTGATCGGGAACCACACAAATAATCAACAAGATGATCGATAATGAAACAATAATCTGTTGCAGCCCTGATCATTTATTTAGGTACCTCTTTGAGGGCTGAATATCAGATGGGAAAATTAGAATTCATGTCACACAACTCCCTGGAGAACTAAATTGGATGGGCGTTGCAGACAGAGGGAATGGTGGGTAAGAGCAAAGGTGGAGCTGAGGAGTAATACATGGAAAAAAACGTACTGACCATCCTTCATCCCTCATGAGGTCATGGCATTTTCTCCCTGATGATTGTATGCTCCAAGTAAAACCTCTTAAAGGATGACATCAATACTGCAGAGACATACTGTGTAGTCTCTCATACATATTTTACCCTCTGCTCTCTGTGTCTCTCTTTCTTTGTTTCTCGTATGCACTGCTATCTGTCACTGATCAACAGTGTGCATAACTTAAAAGATCAATAGCCATTTAGTGTATGGTGTGTCTTCCTCTGTGAGTAATAGGTGCTCTGAGGGTGTCACATATTATGAGTCCACAGTGTACACCTGTGAGGTGCAAATCATGTATAATGGGTTTTTTCAGAGTATAATTTTTCAACAATGTTATACTCCTACAGGCTACCATAAAGCATTTATTGTAAGCACAGGGGGATAGTTTGCATGTTTTGAAGTGGGGTTGTATGAAGTACTTTTTACAGTACAGTACAGTAAGTCATATCTGACAGGGAACAGAAGCCATGATACAAAATAGTAATATTCCTTCAAAGAATACTAAACGTCCACGATCCATCAATCCATTTGTGTGTGTGTTATTGTGTGACATTGATTAATCTGAAGTAACTCTTTAAAACACCAAATTCACAGAATAACACAAATAAAATAACCAATTGAGGCAGCAGTAGACCAGCAACCGTATTCCGGCTGCTAGGCTTTCTTTCTGGTGACTTCCACAGTAGTGCATTGCTTCCCTGCTCCTACTGTCTGCTTCTTCTAACATGCCAACTGTCATCTACTGTATTTAATACACTTACTATGGAAAAGTACCTTAAACAACCCCACTTTTAACAATCCTAACTTGCCTTGAATTATGAGACCCTTACCTGTTGTGATCCATGGTGAACTAGATGATACACTGATGTGAAATTGTGGTGTTTCAGAGAAAGTAATTTGTATGCAGGTCTCATTATACACATACATAATACAAACCATGTTGCTATCATTGCTCATGGGTCTTGCTCAATTATGATTTGCGAGCACCACGCAGCACAACATTGTTAATTATCTAAATCTTATCAAAAGTACAGTAGACCGGAGCTGTGTGTGACCTTTAGTCCTGTTTAATGCACATGTTCCTGCTTACATATTGGGTTCCAAATACCGTATCTCAGACTCTCTCTTTTCTTCATGCTGGATTATTTAAAGTGTAGCACAGTGGCTCTGTGTCCAGCAGTGTTCCCTTCGACAAAATACTACACACCTCTCAGTATATTGGAATACAATTAACTAGTACACAAACCTGGTAACTAATTATAATCAACCAAAAACATTCTTGTTAATTATGTTACATACATTTTAAGCTGTCAGGCTTACAGTGTAACTGTAGGTGTTTGTACGTTTATTCATACAGTTCTGAGATGTTCAATACTTTATGTGTTTCAGAGTGAGAGTGCCGTTGTGAAGGAGAGGGAACTGTCCCTGGAGCTCGCCAGAATCCGGGATGAAGTGGGTAAGTGGGATACAGCAATGACTCACTCACTGCTCTCTGCATGACGTGTTATACAGTATACTAACACAGGGAAGGGAGGAATTAGCTCTGCTGATGGAAGGCTAACCATAACTCCATAAAGCAGACACTGTGAAATATAGCCCTGTTATCATTGCTTCATATCAAACGTTAAACAAACTCTGAATGCTACAGGATTTTAATTGAATTATTTTACCAACATTTTTCAAAAATGGGCAAAAAGAGAAAACATTTGGAGGAATAACACAAAATAAATAAATTACACATTTTACAACTCTAACCTATTTTATATTCTTGTCACTTGTGATCTGAACTTGGATCTGGTGAAACGAACTGAAGCTCTATGTTGTTTTCCAGCTTTCAGTGTTGCACACTGGGAGCAACTGCAGCAGGAGAAGGAGAAACTGGAGCGCCGCTTCAAATCTGAGCTGCAGGGATTGCGGGCTCAGCAGCAGAAGGAGCTGGGAGTGCTGGAGGAGCGGCTGAAGGCGCAGCACCAGGCCGAGGGCCAGAGCCTGCAGGCCAATCAGAGGGCCGAGCTCCAGAAGCTGCGGAAAAAACAGCGAGAGCAGGTGTGTGTGCTTAGATAAAGACTGGATATCAGATGGACACTTATGTCTAAATGTGAAGTGAAAACCTAATCTCCAAAATAAGATCATTTCTCATGTGCCTACTCTAGATTGAGGAGATGAGTGAAGATCATGAGGCTTCCTTGATGGAGATGGAGACGGCTCACGACGACACTCTTGCCACTCTGCAGGAGGAGCATGCCAGGACTGTGAAGAGTAAGCGCCACGTTTTAACCCTGTTGATCTCCTCTACTGAATCACACTGCTGAAAGAAATAATATCATATTTTTTACTTAAATCAGATCTGAAGATGGCCCATGAACAGCAGACCAAATCTCTAGAAGAAGACTTTCAAAAGATCAGACTGTCACTGCAGGTAAACAGTCCTCCCTAAAAAAAACGTTTGGGAAAATACATTATTTATACTAACCTTTTAATTTGTGTCTGTTCACCAGGATCAGGTGGACACGCTGACGTTTCAGAATCGCAGCCTGAGAGATCGAGCTAAGCGCTTTGAAGAAGCTCTACGCAAGAGCACCGATGAGCAGATATTGGTAACCGCTGCATGAAACAGTACAGGGCCATGTGCTGACTGCTTTGAGCACATTTGCTGAATAAGAGCTGCTGGTGTTGTGAAGTGGTTTTTAAGACTGGTATTGGTTTTGACTCATGTTGTCTGCTGCTGTCAGGATGCGTTGGCCCCGTATAAACACATTGATGAGGACCTGAAGAGTCTGAAAGAAGTGCTGGAGATGAAGAATCAACAAATCCATCAACAGGAACAAAAGATCTCAGAACTGGAGAAAATAGTAGGCTTCAAATTTGATGTCTAGCTTCTGTTTGATTTAGCTGCAATTATGAATAACACATAAAATGTTGTTTAAGATAACGATATCAAATGACAGAAAACATCTTCATGACATACTCTGCTATGACTTTTTTTGTTTGTATGACATACTATACTTTATACCATATACCATATTTAAAGACATTTAATGGTATACTATACAATGACTTTTTATGACAACATTTTATAAAACATTGAATGACATAATATACTTGTAACTTTCTTTATGACATACTACACTATGACATTGTATGGCCTACTATACAATATAATGATTTTTTGCTAATAATAGGCTGTTAGTCTACTATAAACCCAAATATAAATGTCTCTGTCTCGAATTGTCATTTCATCATGTTACACCTGAAATATAATGTCATACCTCATTTAAAGAATTTAATGTGGTGCATCTTTCTCCTGTGTTTTCGAGCAGGCTGAAAAGAATGTGTACCTGGAGGAGAGAGTGCAAGTGTTACAGCAGCAGAACGAGGACCTGAAGGAGAGAATTGACAATAACCTTGCTGTGTCCAGGTCAGATAAGCATGCCAGTGCACATTTAAAACCAGAGGTGGAAGAAGAACTCAGATCTTGTACTTGAGTAAAGTAGAAGTACCAGAGTGTAGGAATACTCTGTTAGAAGTAAAAGTCCTGCAATCAAAATGTAACTCAAGTAAAAATACAAAAGTATTAACAAAATATATTTAAGGTACCCAAAGTAAAAATACTCATTATGCAGATTGTTCCATTTCAGAATATATTTTATCTTTTGATTATAATTATTGATGCATTAATGTGTGTATCAAAGCTAGTAAAGGTGCCGTTTCTTTTACTTTGTATAGTGCAGGGTAGCTTGTGAATTTACTCCAGGTGTAACTAAAGTCTTTTTAAAGTGTTGAATATATTTCCCATTATTAATCCAAATCTGAGAAGTAACTAAAGGTACACAATAAATGTAGTGGAGTAAAAGTAAAATATTTACCTCTGAGTTGTAGTGGAGTAAAAGTACAAAATAACATAAAATGGAAATACTCAAGTAAAGTAAAGGTATCTCAAAATTGTACTTAAGTACAGTACTTGAGTGAATGTACTTAGTTAATTCCCACACATGTTTAAAACTAGTTCTAACCTGTAGAAGTGAATGTAGGTGGACTTAAGATGGCACATTAATACAATATAAAAAGTACTTACAGAAATCTTTCATTCTGCTGCCAAAATTCAGCATCTTATCATAAAAACTGTTGATGTTCTCCAAATGTTACTTAGAAATATGTATAGTACAATATAGTGCTTAAGGGTTATCCAGTCTGTGCACATAGAGAGAACATTTGTAGACAAGCAGTGGGAAAAGCTGTTAAAGCTGTGACCTTGCAGTTGGAAAGTCCTGACTCCTGCATTTGAAAGGATTGCATTGCTAGTCATTTGTATTTTGACCTTTTCCTACTGCTTTTCTTCCTCAGGCAACTCTCTGAGGATAATGCTCACCTGCAGGTGAACGTGGAGAAGGAGAGCAACGAGAAGAAACGTCTGAGTCGCAACAACGAGGAGCTGCTGTGGCGTCTTCAGACAGGCGAACTGAGCCCTCACATGTCCCCCAGCGCCTCCCCCCTCCATCGCCCCCTCTCCGGACCAGGCTCTCCGGCCCGCCCTCACTCCTACCATCAATGACACCCTCCAGGGAGGCTATCGTATCAAACGCTTTCTTGTTTCTGGCATCGGAAACCATGATTTTGTTAAACTCTTCTTGAATGTTTAAAGGATTTAGCAGTATGTTGATGGACGGACATGATGACACGTGTGGTGCATTTCCAAAGTCAACCCCGAGTACTTTTCAACTCTGACCTAAAGAATTGTATAAAAAAGAAGGGAATTATCTTTCTCTATTCCAAATGACTGAACAGACGTGCTGTGGGACTGCAGGGGATTTTAGTCATTCTAGACTTCAGAGAGCAGGATCAAAGTACCATGCCTCATTTCCATGTTACCCCCCCCCCCCCCCCCCCCCCCCCCATCTACATCACCACCTTCTCATCCAGCGCTCTGGATGATGGCTGTACAAGACATTTCCAACATCACAAGTGCAAGGACAAACACAAGAAGCGCCTTCTCCGTCCATTCTCTCCCACCAGCAACTTCTATCTAGGCACAGGCAATACTTTGAGTAAAATCACAGAACTACCTGGTTACTCTCAAAGTGTGGATTCTTCTCTGGGGTATGTTAACATTTTCATTCTGAAATATTTCATATATCAGGAGTGTATGAATGACTACCAATCCTACCTTATCTCTCTCTCCTAGAAACTAGATATCAGTGATGACCCTGAAATGTATGATTACAACTCATAAATCCATTGAACTGCCAACTATACTATTGACTATAAGTTTGTAGAAGCGTGTAAATGTATTGCTCTCTCTAAAGCATGTTCTGTCTTCCAGTTATGCATTTTATTTTAAGGTTACCTAGAGTGTGACAATATGGCAGGAAGTGTGTAGACGGCAACACAAGTAACCTCTTATTCTTAATAAAACTCACCAGGATTTATTCAAATGAAGACAGAAAAGATATCATGGTGTTATACAAATTGTTTTGAATGTGAGATTGGCTTCAGTTAGGTTAAGAAAAGAAAATGATTTCCCACACAAGTGCAGGATCTGCAGATACCACCAAAGAGGAAACCATTAAGCACAGCAGTCCACCTTGTATTGTGGTCTATAATTGATGGCTGTCAAAATGTACAGTATTGACCTGAACACATATATCCAATATATGTTCATTATGTTGAATTTGTACAGTTCTTTTTCTTTCTCTTTTAAATTGTTGCTGTATCTGTTGCTGTACACTTTTTTGCGAACAAATACTGTATAAGGTGAAAATCTAATTTATACAATATTTCTCTTTTTGAACCTTCAAAATTGGCAAAAACCCTATTGAGAGGTAAAAACCAACATGTATGTAGGGAACAAATGTATCTAAAGTAGTTAGAACAATCCTCGAAAACTGCAAGCGGTTACCTCATTTATTATTTTAGATTATAATCTCAGGTATTGTGGAGAATAATTAGTCAGCAAAGGGAAGAAACTGCCATATCTTTTTCTTTTGGTATTAATCCCATTTTTATTTTTGCTCATGTTTACATAATCACCCAGCTCAAATGTCTGTTTTGCAGGAAATCCATTGAATGATATGATTTGAAATGTACAGAATATGTATACATATGTTAAAGAGCAAAGTGCAATCAGCAAATATGTACAAATACATTGAAGAAATGTTGCTTTAATACTATAATATAATACAAAAATCAGATCCCCTAGGCCCCCAACATGTGGAAATATGATCAAGCAGTGATATGTTTGCAGGTGAGTTGTGTTATGTATGAGCAGCAAGGCAGATATAGATTTAACTTTACTGTGTTCTGTGGAGTGGAAATGGCCTTCCTCTCCATCAGGTTCTCCGATTGCACTGATCGCCTCTGTGTCCCGTGGACATGACCTTTTACTCATTTACTGACTGTTTGTTTGACACTAGATATGAGGTTTTGTTTACAGTTTACATCCAATATTAGAAAAGTTGGTGTTTCACGTGGATGTGGGTACTTCTGTTGATTGTTTACGGTTAAGATTGTATTCAGTATATCAGAAACTGAGGCTCTGGTTTATATGAAAGCATGTCTTTATAAGGTCGTTGTGCATTGTTCTTTGTTTTACTTTTCTTGTGCTTTTGTTTTATTTATTTATTTATTTATTTGACCTCCTTCAGAACCGCAACTGTAGTTTAGCTGGTTAAAATATTGTGGTTAGTGATGAGAAATGTGTGTCTACACTGTATATGTTGCACTTTGTATTTAAGTATTAAATCACGATAAGAACATCATTTGTTCAAAAGTTATTTCCAGTGTGGATACATCTTTGATTGCATGACGTTCTTTTCTATATTTTGCCAATCTTAAAGGGAACATTTCAATAAGAAGTAATAACGAAGCGTACAGTATCTGAAAGAGATACCACTAAAGCTTATAACAGTCAAAATAACTATATAGTAATAATATAAATATTACTTCTTCATGAAGTTCTGCAGCATATCTATGGGCACAGGGAAGATGATGGTGGAGTTCCTCTCCGCTGCGATGGTGTTGAGGGTCTGCAGGTATCGCAGCTGGAGACCAGAGGGTGACTCAGCGATTATCAGGGAGGCTTCTTTCAGAGCCCTGGAAGCGTTCATCTCTCCCTCTGCAGAAATGATCTGAAACACAGACAGACAAGATTAGTTCTACAAATGTTTTCTATCAACATCCATCCTATTTCACGGTTAGAGGAAAATTAGAAAATAAATCTTCCGCCTGTTGACCTTGGCCCTGGCCTCCCGAGTGGCTTCTGCCTCGGCTGCCATGGCTCTCTGCAGCTGCTGAGGCAGCTTCACATCCTTGATCTCCACTCGCTCCACCTTGATACCCCACGGGTCAGTGGCATCATCCAGAGATCCCTGCAGAGGAATAAAGAATAATAAATACTTGGCCCACGTTGCTAAATATTGCTAGCTCCAGAAATTAGTTGTTTATTTATTTTAATTATGTTTTTTTATCAACTTTTTTTAATAACATACTATTGTACTGATTGTTTGTATTTAATGTATCTGTTATTTCAAAATCTGTTTTATAAAATAATATACTCTGACTTTATGATTTTTTAAGGCAAATTGTAACCTTTTTCTGACTTACTATATAGGCAGTTTTTAAATATATATTTTATGACATACTTTATGCCACTGTACATTTTTTGATATCCTAATGACATTCTATTCTATGACTTTTTAAGTATGTTTTATGATTTCATTAATGGCATTTTTTTTAAATACTTGAAATGGCCTACTTTGTCTCTTTTACCTAATATAGGGGCCACCAGAACATAAATTACTATTTTCCATTTCTTTCAACCATTACTTTGATATCTTTTTAGAGTGACTATGTAAAATCCTCACTTCTCACCTGCATACTGAGTGATATGCCCTCTCTGTCAGATAACAGTTCTGCCAGGTTTTTGGTCCCAAGTACATTCCTCAGGGTGGTCTGAGCCAGCAGCCGTGTGGATGAGTGTGCGTTGCTCACATTGGCCACAGAGGAGATGGGGCAGTGTATGCGGAAGTACACCACGCCGTCCACGGACACTGTCACTGAGTCTCTGGTGAGGATCTGAGAGGTGCAAAGCTGCAGTTATGATGCGGCTACTAAGTTGATCACACAGGAAGATGGTAGTCAGATTTCATTAATGATGGACAGGAGAGACACAACTGATATTCCCACATTTGGTCATGACTGGAACAAAACAACGTACCTCTTGTGGGGGGATGTCAAAAGACACAGTTCTCAGATCAACCTTCACAAAAGTATCAGTGCAGGGTAGAACAAAGAACAGACCTGGAAGGAAATAAAGACCATGCTCAGTTTGTAAAGATTGTAGATAAAGTATATTAGATCATAGCAAGGTAACTACTTTTTAAGAATGTTTTAAGAACATTTTGCCCACATTGTGTATTCATGTAGTGACAAACCTGGCCCTTTAGGTTTCCTGTCTGTGATCCGTCCGAGTCGGAAAATGACGGCTCGCTCGTACTCCTTCACTATCTGTATGTTAGAAACACAGCCATCCATATAGAGAACATAAAAAAGGGAAAAACCATTGGCGTAAAGGTAGAATTTATATCTTATCAAATCATGATTTCTCCCGAGCTACAGTAACACATACCATCTTCACATTTGATTCATTTATTTTTTTATGGATCAGTTTTTAAATATGCTGTTGGTCAGTCACCCTGTCTTAGCTAGTATATGTATTTAGGTGCCCTCAGTGTCTGTGGTATACAAAAATGGAGGACGGATATTCTGAAATTACACATTTACTAGAGTTGTGTCATCAACTAAGCATTAGCTTTAGGATTTCTGACCTACCAACAATTTTTACACAACTGACATTTTCTAAACTAGTGTACATTACTGAGAATATGCTGTACCTTAACACACATGAATAATGTGATTGGGAAGGTTGCTGTAACAAAGAGGAGGGATATGAGGACCAACAGCCAGCCGAAACATCCCAAACCTCCTGAGTTTTTATCTGTACAGAGAGAAAAGAGTAGGAGAGGAAAAGTGTTTTGCATAGTTGTCATGGCACCTTGGTTCCTCATGTATTGTTGTCATTTCCACCCTTCTCATTTTTCACTAACAATGTAATTAATATCTGAGGGGAAGTCATGTTACTTCTCATCTAGCGGAGTGACAGGGTAAGCTGCTGAACTATTGATGTACCATCCTGATAATGCTCACACTGTGGTGTAGTTGTCTCCTTTAGTTACAGACAGGATATTACAGGAAGCATTCAAAGTCTGAGGGTAGATTGTTCAGTCAGTATAGGGCTGCAACAAACACTAATTTTAATAATCTATAGTATCATGATTATATTGTTCTTGATAAATAATTTATTAATTAAAAAGAAAAAACAGTAGATGCGAAAAAATTAAATTGCATGCAACATCAACATTTTTGCAAATTTGTGCAAAAAGACAAAATATAGAAACACCAATACTGTACAAGCAAAGACTTGGATTAAGAATGGGAAATGGAATTTAACTTAATTAAACAGTTGAAAACAAAATAAAGTAATAAACTAAATGCTTTATAAACAATTGAAGTTAGTTTTGTGCCAAAGAATTGTGTCATCTCTGATTATCTGATAAACAGTGACATCCCTCCTTGATCCCTATAAAGCACAATATGCTATCCCTGGCATTTTAATCCTCATTTAATGACAGTCACAGACTCATTTTTTGATGGATCATAAAAAGTATTTACCTTCCACATTCTCCACAGCAATCTGAAGTTTATCCTGTGTAACCATCTCCGCTGTGCTGGACGTTGTTGAGGTCATTAGTGAGTTTGTTGTCGGAGTGATGGATCAAGTGAAACAGTGCAGCGCCTGTTTACCTGTTTGTTCTCCCTGCTGGGTGTGGCCTGGCCCCTCCCCTCATCATCTGACACACGTAAACGCATACCCCCTACTTGGTGTGTGACTCTTGGACTCACCTTGTAGTGCCAACTGGTAACATGAACCACAGAGCCAAACCAGTCTATGGCTCCTGTGTTTGAAAGCTCAAAGTTTAGCTCCTGTGCTCTTCCATTATACTCTAACCTTCACGCCCAGTCTGAGTCGGACACCTGTTGAGTGCAGCTTATGAATAAACAATAAGTGGCATCGAAGTCGTGAAACATGAGAGCATGTACAGGCACAAGGAGATGTGATCATGCTCTCCTACTTTCTCATGGTTTTGTTGTTTATGTTTATGTTTTGTAGTTTTAAAGGTCTCCTATTATGCTATTTTTAGGCATATATTATGGGTCTCAGATATATACAAAATGTAATATATAAAAAGAACATGTCTATGATGTGTTTTGCTCATAATACCAAACAGATCATGCATTGTAGACATCCCTCATATCCCTCTATGTCAGCCCTGTTAGAGAAATGCTGATTTTGGGTCCTTAGCTTGAAAAAAAAAGGGGAGCTTGAGCCTGCTCAGAATTTTACGAGATACAGCTAAATGCTGCCGTGATTAAATGCCATATCATGTTCCAAACCACATCAAGGATTATTTCTGAAACAGTATGGAGCTCAAATGCTTTCTCTCTTGCGGGTTTACCACAAGGTGAGTTCCTTTTTTTATTTCCTTCTTTTTTATACATACTCTCTCCAGTACAGCTTAGCTCTGAGTGTTAGCGATGCTTGCTAATGTAAACAAAGACCATATTACGTCCAAAGAAAATGTCGGGCATTGTTTCTGATAGCGAAGTTTCTGATAGTGCCGTGGGTCCACATTTCCGATATGACGTCATATCGGACGCAAATCTATATCAGCTCCGTTGTACCCCCCGTTTTTAGAGATTTGGGGACACATATTTATGTATAAAAGACATAAAGTGCATTTTTCATGATAGGTCCCCTTTAAGGTTTAAATAATGTAGTTTGTGTTTGTTTCCTTTTCGTGGTTTAAGTATACGTTTAAGTATTGTTGTTTAAGGTGAAGGATATTTGTACTGTGACATTATTCTTAAAATGTCACATATCTGATGAATTATTTTGTTTTTAATCAGTAACGCCAGCCTCAGTCCAAAAGTCTTTATTCCAGTTTCAGCCTTCAACAGCGACCACATCCACCAGCAGCCTCCAGACGGTGTCCAGGCTGCAGGGATGACCAGGTGACACATTACATTTTTCTAATTGTTCTCAATGCACTCCTTAAGATCCTTTTATTTTGACAAAGCAATCCTCTGCAGAGTATCTGATGTAAATGCTCCTCTTTTGAGATTATAAAAGTATGTTAATGATGTTTACTGGAACCTGACTTTTTCTCATGTGTTGCTGTCCTTCTCCAGGTGCCAACTTTAACCCAAAAGCGCCGGCGCCCTGCTGCTGCTGCTGCTGCAGAACTTCCCCAGAAAAGGAAGCAGAACTCCGGAGCCCCTCCTTCCATAATGTCTATATTCAAATAAAGGATGTTAAACAGCCAGACAAAATTACTTAATTCTCTGATGTAAAGCTGTACTGTACTAATGGATTTTGAGTTGTGGAGACGTAACAACTGACATGTGAGCTGCTGGTTACCATCATTTCTCAGTGAGGTGTCTTTAATTGACCACATGATACTTCATCACATGACAGTTGCACACTGCAGTACGCTTCATGATGAGTGCATGTGAATCTGGTTCAGTTGTTCACCACAATAGACAACAGGCTCACTTTGACCTCTTGTAAAATGTATGGAAGTTTATGGGTTTGGTGCAATCTTGATCAATTTGTGAGTTTTAGGAATTGTAAATGGGAAAAATTAACAAAAGCTGAATAAAGACTATGTAAGAGCTCTGAAGCCAAATGTGTTATACTGTAGATTTCACCATCATTTCTTAGCAGCTGCATTTATTTTCAGAAAGAATATCACTTACTCCTATTTGTCGTAGTTTTACTGTTACGAAACTTCATTTCAGACCACAATTAATGTAACAAAGGTATGGTTTTGAACAGATATTTGACATGCATGCATGTTTTTCCTGTTGCTAGAGGTCTCCATGTTAGTGCAAACAGTACCCTCTTGTGGTGAGAAAGTATTTTTAACAAACAGAAGGTTAAAAAAAGAAGAAATGCTAAAGAGGTTGTGTGGTTGCACATGCTTTCATAATCTGATTGTTAGTCAGATTTTTATTGCATCTAATTTTTTTTGCTCGTTTTGTATTGAATTCGAACTCAACATTAGGTGAAAAATAATGAGCTTTTTGTCAGGTTAACAGAGTTCTTCTAAAGTAAATGTAATCATTAATATGGCCAAGCAGAACAGCTGAACAGCTTGAACTGCCTTCAGGTCATCATGTGTGGTGAGGTATAAACCAGGCCTCACTCAAACATATTCACAGGGAAAGTACTACATTAATACTTGTGGATATACTGATTAAAGCTTTATTTTTTTTAATCACTGTGGCCAGCACCGCACAAAATGTGTTTATCATATTCAAATACATCCATACCAAAAGTATTTTCAGTATTTTTAAGTGACATTTAATCAAACATTAAGACACAATCTAAGTCATTTCATTTTAAAAATACACAAGGACGAGAGAGTGTTTCAGCACAATACTTTCTGTGTGTGGAGACACATCAGTAACCAGCCGTATCCATCATAAACTTGCGACTGAGCTCGTAAGCCAGGAAGAGGGCTCCGTTGACAGGGAAGGTGCGTATCATGGTGGGAGTCAGGCCTGAGTACAGAGCAGTGAAGCCTGTGGGACAGGAGAGAGAGAAGCAGCCACACGGGTCATTCCCCGCTGAGGAGTCAGGCCCCCAGATCGGGCCAATTAGAAACAAGATTCATCTACAGTGTGTCAGTTATACCAGCAGTGGTGCATTCAGAGCCTTTCTCTTCAGCTCTCCTTTTGACACACTCAGGGCTAGTTTTATAGTTTTTGCTTACAAAAAGAGGCTTGAAGTGTAAAGATGTGCCACTATTTAACTCTCCTGTGTTCGTTTCTCTACCCTTCCTCTGGTGGAGGTGACCGGTCCAATTTGACCGGTCTGTTTCAACTGCTCTTAGATTAACACAAAAAACATTAACCATCCCTACATTTTATTTAACAACCTTTAAAGCTGTGAATAATGTCTCCGACTACTGGTTTACACGAACAACTGCAGTGAAAATACATAGAATAGACACTGAAAATGTATTCCAAAATTAACATGGTTGTCGATTTGTGGGTGTGTACTATCTGATTGATGAACATAATTTAGGGTTACCCATTCATTCCCTATGGCTGTCGTTTCTGACCGGGAACACAATAGGATTAAGAAAGTTGATTTAACCACTCAAAATTCTGTGAAAGTGGTGATCAGCAATTGTACATGTCCAAAGGCCTACTGTGGAGGACATCATAAGGCCTTTAATCGATTAAATGTAAAATACAATATTTGTATGATTGATGAGAGTAGTAAAGCGGTCAGATTTGACCCGAACAATATTGCAAAAACCCACATAGAAATTGTGACATTTGATTGAAGTGCCCTCCCTAAGCTCCATGTGATTGGTAAGGGTAGTTTCATTTGTGACATGTCAATAATCATGTCAGTGTCAAGCTTTGGCCTTTTTAATGTATTATCTTCTAAATGTACTAAATCAATTATTAGACGTGTTTCATACACTCTGACGCCAAGTTATCCTCCACATCATGGCAACAGATGGTGCAGATGGTAGTGCATGTGGTTGTGACTAAGTACATTAAGCATGTACACTTCCTTCATAAATCTTACCTTTTTCTTGCTTCCTTGTTTTTCACTTTTTTACAGCTTTAATGTTGTTGTGCATGGAGAATATTCAAATCTCTACATCCGCAAGCTATTCTCTTCTTATGCTGGACAACCTTTATTTTATACATACTAATATTCATGTATTACGACTTGTTATGCAATGGTGTCTTCATTGTTGTTTTCAAGTCTAACAAATCTGATGTGTGTCAGTCTTACCCCATCTCCTTCATGACCTAATTGGATGATTTGAATATTTCCGGATAGCTTTTTTCTTATTATGTACATCTACTTGCAACATGAGACAGTACAGCCATGAACAGATACTGTATGTGTAAATAATTTGTAATACTTTCAGATGCCGGTCACTCCGACATTTCTCTCAAAAATGCCAACCGAAAACAACTCCCTGAAAGGTTTATTCTATCAGTATAGAAAATAAAGTGCATATTGGAAATGTAAAACCACAAGTCTCACTGTGTTTAAAGAACATTGTTTTCCCCAGATGTATAAGAGAATGAAACAGCATTAACACAAATGTTCGATAATCCTTTTTTTGTCCTCTTAAGGGCAGAATTATGTCTCTGAAGAGGTTGTTTCTGATTTGAATGTCTAAACTGGTTATGAACCGAATGAGAGAAGAGTCTAGAGTCTGTTTTGTGTTTGAGTCAACACTTTTCTCTACAGAACCGGTAGTTCACAAAAAGCCAAATTATACAGTTGTTTTCTTTTGCACACTGATTATAAGGATGTATGATGTAAAACAGTCAGCTTTGCAACCTATATTTAAGAAGACAACAGATCAATGGGAGAATTGAATAACTGTTCAGCCATTCAGAATCAGAAGGATTTCTATTTGAGTATGTACGTTCAAAACTTACCCTCAGTGCGTATAACACCCATGAAGGTCTTCATGAAGCCCTCTTGCCTCCCAGCTAAAGAGTAAACCTGGATCCTGGACTTCACACAGTCAATGGGATAAACCGTCAACCAGAGACAAGCTCCTCCAAATCCACCGCTGAACATGAGGGGAAGAATACCTGCAAAGACCAACGTTATTTTTGTGGGGGCAGAACACAAAAACAAAAGGACATGCGGCAATAATGAAACAACTCATGAAAGATGAATGACCAATAATTATCATACCTATACTATCTTTGTCCGTGCCCTTATACTGCGCAAATTTAGTCCGACACAGTTCATAGGCCCCAAAGAAGCAGAAGTAACCTGGTATCTCCCTCACTATGGTGGATGTGAGTCCTTGGTAGAAACCCAAGGGGCCATCAGTCTTCAACACTGTCTTCACTACTGTCCACACAGTGCTGAAGTCACATAAAAAAAAACACTCAACAGGGTATTAGCTTCAAATATATGTTGTGCTCTCTACAATGTGTCATTTTTTTCACACCAACCTTTTCTGGCCGATTGCTATCTTGCCAGATGCTTCCATTTCGTGCATGGCCTGCAGGCGACATTTCACCAGCTCACTGGGGCAAAGTGCCATGGAGGAAAAGATGGAGGCTAAAGACCCTACGCATGCCTTCTGAATATCACTGTGAAAATAAATAAAATAATACTAATAAACAATCAACCTTGGTCTTCAGGATAAGTCAGGTCCTTTTAAGATAAAATCATCTGTTCATACACAGTATGTTTTTGAAAACAACGTGCATTAAATGGAGAAAGGCCTTAGGAATGTACCTAAGATAATTTTCTAAGAGGGTTACATTTACTTGTCGAAGAAAAGTGTTCAGCACACAAAGTCAACCTGTTATTAAATATCAAGGGACTGGCTACTGGGTACATGCCTGATATGACTTGGAACAAAGTAATATTGTTGCATCCAGTTACAATGAGCACTGAATTCCTTGTCATATTATACTATCTTTTCTCATGCTGCTCACAGTTTGACATGGAGAGTCGCAGCAATCAAGAATATTAAAGTGGTTTGGTTAACAGAATAAAGAACAATGTATTGGTTTAAAGGTTAAATGTTAACATTTATGTTTGTACATGCAGTACCACTGTTATGAAGTTCTTTTTTAGTGTGCAACCAAGGATTATCTTTTTAGAGATTATCTCTCAGTTAATTTTCAATAGTACAAGGTGACATGCAGGGTGTAGCTGGAGGGACCACTGAATTATAGAGGAGTTGGAAATTAGCTTTCATTACCTTTTTTGACCAAGACAATTCTAAGAAAAGTCACACTGATGCTCTGGGATGTAAGTCAAATAACTACAGTCTTGGATCATGGTAATATCTGTTATGTCATTCAATACAGATAAGTCAAAATATTGCTCACCACAGAGAGCGGTGAACACAGACAAATAGACAGAAATGTCAGTGTCAAACCTGAGATGGGCCCCTTTCTCCATACTGGACACAAATCGGATCACATCCTGGCAGAGACCATAACTGAGGAAGAGCACAGCGTTCTCACTGATGTTGGCTATAAGGGCTGGGGATATTCCTTTGTAGAGACCATGTAAGCCCACCTGTCTGAAAGTGGATGTGAAGCAGTGGATGAAGCCGCGGTACAGGGTGGGGAAGGTCTGCATCTTCACCTTTGCTGTGTCAAAGGGCTGACCGCTCAGCACGCAAGCTGTACCCCCTGGGGAACACATTATAGACATGTAATAAGAGAGAAGACATGACTCATCAGAGCAGGGTGTTGTAGCATTTTGAACACTTTGTTATTGTCATGCATCGTAGTGTCGAAGCACACCCACCAAGGGTAAAATGCACCTTCAGAAATGCAACTAGATATACCATCACTACTCTATAAATAATAATTGTATTACCATGGATCACAGTTAAATGATGATGTCAAATAAATGAAAGGATACAATTATTTGACAAACACAAACACACACACACACACACACACACACACACACACACACACACACACACACACACACACACACACACACACACACACACACACACACACACACACACACACACACACACACACACACACACACACACACACACACACACACACACACACACACACACACACACACACACACACACACACACACACACACACACAGCATGTTTGATTATGCAGTAGATACATTACCCATTGCTCCAGCTGAGAAGTCGATGATGGCCTGGATTATAGGATGTGGAGCCATGATCATTTATATGATTCTGTAAAACTGAAAATGGAATCTATTTATCAACCGTGGCATCATCTCTTCAACATAGAAATCATTTAGCCAGAGGTGGGAAGTAACTAAATACATTTACTCAAATACTACACAGTAAACATTTTAGAAAACGTTACATTTTATATAAGGGGGGACCGTTATCAAAAAAGTATCATTTGTATAAGGGGGACACTTATCAAAGAAATTACATTTTATAATAGGGAGGACCCTTATCAAAAAAGTACAATTCTTATAAGGGGGGACCCTTATCAAAAAAGTTAAATTTAATATAAGGGGGGACCCATATCAAAAATGTTGACCAATCACAACAGAGCCGGCCAGCTAACCAATCAGAGCAGACAGTGCTCTGGTTTCAGACAGAGGGTGAAAAGAGGTGCTGCAGCACAGGCAGTATGAGAAAAATAAAGAGCTTTTTGAAAAGTCCCTTTAAAAAAAGTAGCAATACTATAGAGTAAAAATATTGCATTCAAGATCGCAATCAAGTAAACGTACAACACTTGAGTAAAAATGACTCATTATGCAGTATGGCCCATTTTAGAATATCATGTATATTACATTGTTGTATTATGTTAATATGTTTTCCTCACTTTAAGTCGGAGAAGTTTAAAAATCTTCAGAAAAAAAGACCATCAGAAATGTGTTTGTCTACAACACAAACATTATACTTGATGCAACAATATTATCTAGAAATGTCACATATAAATACAATTATATACACACATGAAGGCCATTTTTCTGCACGATGACTACTTTCACTTTTGTATACTTTAAGTACATTTTGCTAATTATACTTTTGTACTTAAACTTAAGTAAGATTATAAATGCAGGACTTTCACTTGTTATGAAGTATTTTGACACTAATGCATTGGTACTATTACCCAAGTAAAGCATCTGAATACTTCTTCCATCACTGAATTTAAGATGTGGTTTTGAAGGAAGAAAGAACATGTCACATTTCTGTGAAGCCAATCCAGACACATTGCATACTCACCCTGAGTCTCTTAATCTTTGTTTCTCTCCGAGACAGCAACTTTAAAAAGATTAGTTTGCACTACAGTCTATAGGCGAGTCCAAGTGGGCACAAGATGAGCCTTTTCTTATACGAGGTATTTTCCTATAGGCCTACTACACCCATACAACCATCTCAATTCGCAAAATGAAACCTGTTTAATTTGGTATGTTTTTAGGTATCATCCCCCCCTGGTTTAATTTGGTATTTGTTTAGGTATCATCCCTCAAGTTCATCATCTTCAAAGCCCCTTCCTCATTCAAAATTATCCTCATCTATCGGCCCCCTAAACCAGGGGTTCCCAACCTTTATTGTGCCAAGGACCGGCAGATACATTAAAAAAAAATCGCGGACCGGTTGTCAATTTTAACTGATTTTAATATTTACTCACCACCAGCAGGTAGCAACAGAGGCTAATTGTATGTAACAGCCTGAACAAATACTAGAACAATATGCATCCAAAACATATTAACAAAGTTTAAAAAAGAACCGGTGTCATTTTTTGGTTTTTCGGAAAACCAAAAAACCGACGTTATTCAGTTTTTAAACCAAAACGGGAAAACAGATAAATTAACGTTTTGGTTTTGTTTGTATGATTTACGGATAATCCATTGAATGCTGGGAAAACGAGGAGAAGCCGCATTATGAACACTGGCATTTGTTTTCAGAAGATATTATGATAGTGTCGTTCGTTCCGGTGCACTCCGACAGCATTAGCACTACATCGAGATTAAGATTAAACTAATTTATTTTGGGAACAGCCGCATATATGGAGTTAGCCATATGTGTGTAAATTACTGTTCATAAACATTTGAAAACAAATGCCGGTGTCGGACAGACACAAACACACCGAACACACAGAGCTGAGCTGAGCAGAGCACATACACACACACATCATGCGCCTTGGTGACTGACTGGACATCTCCTTCATAAAACTAATAAAAGGGGGAGTAATCGGGCAGTTCGATGTGTGTAGATGTGTGTGTATAGGTGTGTGTGGTTAACACGTAGCAGCCTGCAGTCACTCTTAAGCTGTTCTGATGAAGTTAAACACAGTCATACTGGTGCTGCACTTCTCAGAAGCGGAGTATACGTGCCGCTGCCTCCGGATGCTGCAGCCGTTTTAAGAAGTGAAGGAGGGTTTCCTTCTATAAAGCAGCTGCGGGCAGCAGATCGTGAGAGTCCCGGACATTAATTCATAGATCAAGGCAGACTGGTTTACTCTTCTGTTTTGCCAATCCGGTGCTTAAACAAATAGCTCTACACCCCTGGCCGACATGTCCTTAAAATGAAGTCCGAGTTTGAAATATATCTCAAATAATGTATGCACCACCATTTCCCCACATAAACATAACAGTCTGCAATCAAACGGTTGTCTCCTGTGCGCTCCTCTTCCTACTTGGCGCACCGGTAACATGCTCGTGCGCACCTTATAAGGCTGAGCCGCCGAATCCCTCATCATAAAAGCCATTTTCAACGGTTTTCTGGTGAAAGATTAACTAGCTACTGGATGAAATAATATGACTGGTGGCATAGGTGCGAAAATTAAACACTTTTTGAAAAAATATTATGATAAAATATTTTTATATATTTATAATTCTGCAAATATTACGATAAACTCACAGCTATTTCGCGGCCCGGCAGTAACACCTCTGCGGCCCGGTACCGGTCCGCGGACCGGGGGTTGGGAACCCCTGCCCTAAACCACATCCCTCCTTCCTCTCACTTAACTCCTCAAAACTAGCTTAATCCTCCCTACTTTTCGACCTTAACATGACTATTGAGTCACCCACCTGCGAGCTGTCATTCAAATTCTCTACTCTAATAGACAATTTACTGTCAACCAAAACGTCACCTTCCCGACCCATGCCAAAAGACACATCCTCGACTTTGTCTTCTATAAAAACCTCCCAATACCTTGGCGTAATGTTTGGCCCCACCCTTTCCCTCGATCCTATCATCTGCCAAGTAATCAAAACCAAATTTTACCAGCTCTGCAAAGATCTGACCCTCTCCCTGAAATTACAACAGTCTCATAGTTAGGAATTATTTATTAATTTATATAGTTATTCTGTCGGTCTTCAGTTCTTAAAATCTTCTCACTTAACTCCCCAAACTAGCTTCATCCTCCCTACTTTTCGACTTTAACATGACTATTGAGTCACCCAGCTGTCATTCAAATTGTTCTTTATTATGTCGGACCTGGTAGTTCATTTTTAGCGGCTTTATCTCTCACACACACACACACACACACACACACACACACACACACACACACACACACACACACACACACACACACACACACACACACACACACACACACACACACACACACACACACACACACACACACACACACACACACACACACACACACACACACACACACACACACACACACAATAAACGAATCCAAACAATAACAATTAATAAAATAATTATAAAATAGGAATAAAAAGGCAATTAAGTTAAAAGTTATATTAAAAATGTAGGTCTTCAGTTGTTAATAGGTATGAACGCTCTCTGCTGGTCTAGTTGGGAGGGCACATTGGGGAGGGCGAAGTTCATTTTTATTGTGTTCAATATGTTCATAATTATTGTGTTCAATATGTTGTTAATAGAAAAATAAGGTTTCTTTTTCCTGCATTACAACAGCATTTTTAATAACAAAATTATTGGCAAACATTAGGGCATATTTAGCAGATATTCCATACTGCACTAATAACATTTATCCACACATAGGGAAACAGATTTTGTAAAATTATGCATCAATATTAAATGATGTCACTCATATGCTGTTGCTAATGCAGGTTTTGCTTTGCCTTCAATGTAGCCTAGAAAAGCAAAAGGCACTGGTAATTGGTACTCCCAGTTTACTGGGATGGGGTTCGATTCCCTGCGGTGTCCTGCTGGTTTCTTTGGCATGTACATTAAAGATCATATTATTTACTACTATAATAATGATAATTATCAAAGTATTACTAATTAGTATCTCATACAACTGACACAAGCTTCCAAAAACTCTCAAAACTGTCAAGAAATATCAATAAAATAAGTATAAAATAGGAATAACATGCAATTCAGTTATAAGCTATATTACAAAGTTGGGTCTTGGGTCTGCTCTTAAAAGTATGAAAGTTTGTGCTGGTATAGTTGGGAGGGCACATTGGGGAGGGCGAAGTTCATTTTTATTTTTATTGTGTTCAATATGTTGTTAATACAAAAAGAAGGTTTGTATTTCCTGCATTACAACAGCATTTCTAATTAAAAAATGTTTTATTGGCAAACATGAGGGCATATTTAGCAGCTAATCCATACTGCACTAATGAAATAGTTATGGACTTATAGGGAAATAAATGTTGGGAAGTTGTAGAGGTCGTATTTACCATAATGTGAAGTATGTGGCCATTGGGATTGTTTTCCTTTGAGATATGAGAAAACCGTGTTTCATGGCGAGCATTGTGTTGCCATGGCAACGGCATTTGAGGAAATCTCAAAACTGACACATATATGTCTCGAGGGCTGTACCGTTAGCACACATGTGAAGTTTGAACACTTTTTGACAATTTACACAGGAGTTATAGCAATATCGTGCTTAACGGTGAGGGATGCGTTGCCATGGCAACAGCTTTTGAGTGTTGAGCTGTTGATGGCCGGACCATTAACTGTCATCTGAAGTGTGGTGCCGTCTGGACGTTTTTCCATTGAGTTAGGACAACACCGTGTTTCATGGCGAGGGATCTGCATTGCTATGGAAACGGCATATGATGACATCCCATAATTGGCGTGGAGCTGTTGAGGCATGGACCGGTGATATAAAAGTGAAGATTGGGGAACGATGGGACTGTGCCCATTGGATTTACAGCGACAACGTGTTTAATGGCGAGGGATGCGTTGCCATGGAAACGGCATATGATGACATCCCATAATTGACATAGTGCTGTTGAGGGCCGGACCATTAACTGTCATCTGAAGTCTGGTGCCGTTTGGAACGTTTTCCATTGATTTAAGACAACATTGTGTTTTATGGCGAAGGATGCGTTGCATATATGTGTGTCGAGGGCTTGACGGTTAGCACACATGGGAAATTTGAACACTTTTTACCATTTACACAGGAGTTATAGCAATATCGTGCTTAACGGCGAGGGATGCGTTGCCATGGCAACAGCTTTTGAGGAAAACTCACTATTGTCATATTGATGTGTTGAGGGCCAGACCATTAACTGTCATCTGAAGTCTGGTGCAGTTTGGACCATTTTCCATCGAGTTATGACAACACTGTGTTTCATGGCGAGGGATCTGTCACCATGGCAACGGCATATGATGACATCCCATAATTGGCGTAGAGCTGTTCAGGGCTAGGGTTAAGGACAAAGGAGCCTCATTCACTTTACATTGGGGTTGTTTGCGTGGTGCAGACACGTAAATGTAGCAAAGTTCGTGACTCCACCACGCACTGCGGTGTTAAGGAGTCGTGGTGGAGTCACGCATTCTGGTGAGACCAGGTTGGTCTTGCCACATGGCCTTCCCTTGCATAATCTCAAATATTTTGTATTTGTATTTAAGCTACCAACGTGTAACAGAACCATGTCATGTTTGTTGTTCTCTGACACAAAACATCATGTTGAATCAGTCAAAAACAAGATCATTGCCATTGGCATGATGACTTCTGGTTTGGAACACAAAGTTCTGTAAGTAAGTTTCACTTCTTTCGGCTGCTAAACCTTAACTTGTTTTTCACTTATCATCTTGTGTAATCTTTATCTTGTGTTATTTCAAGCTTTTAATTCAGATTGACATGTATGGTATGGGTGTTAGTGTCCCAACAATTCTGTATCTTGTGTAAGTGTATCTGATTATTGCAACACAGCAGCTGCAAGAGAACTATCGATTTTTAGCCGTGTGATTTCATGGATTGTTTATTTTGTTATAACAAAGGTCAAATGTTTCTCAGCAGAAAGTTAACCATCCAGTTCAGCAGTTGATATGGGAGCACCAAAAACTGAAGTTCAGGAAAGAGCCAACGCAAAATACTTCTCCGCTCATGTCTTCTGCTTTAATTCCCCACAGCTTCCAATAAATAGTTTAAAAAGTTGTTTAGAATGAGTATGATGCTTTAA